TCATTACTTTCAGCATACCTGTTGTATATTTCCAGGTATTTCCATACCTAGAATGGAAATTGGTCAAATTAAGTAGTAGGCAGAAAAGGTATGGACAGCATTAGCATAAAGTTCTTGAAATGGGCAGAAGATGGGGTGACCTTAAATACAGGTATAGCTGGACTGCGGAGTACAGAACACTGTGCAGGGGACAAAATAATTAATTAGTGGACAGTGAGGGGTAATTATCAAAACTAGAGCAGACAAAACCTGGAGCAGCTGTGCAGTGCAACCAATCAGCATCCACCTTTAATTTTCAAAGCTTAACTGAACAAACTGAAAAGGGAAGCTGATTGGTTGCCATAGGCAACTGCTCCAGATTTTGCGTATGTTTTAATTAGACCAGAAGTTTTAAATAGAGTAGGTTTTATTTTTTTCTGAGCTATCGTTTGAAAATATTTCTTTATAATGAGTTGTGTTCTGAGACTTGTACAATTTTATGATTAGTTGACTAATTGTAGTCGTTATTTTTATTTCTGTGCATGGTCATGCTTATTTGATTTTTGTAGTATACTATTTATAAAAGAGGGATTGCTTCTCGTGGGCATTCAATATAAGGCTCCAACAGCCACGTTTTGCACTTCGTAACAAAAACTACTTTACTTTTCTGACAAGTACATTATATCTGGCCACATGGTGACGCTGTGGTGCTGTAGTTGTACAAGTAAACATTGCTTACATGGTCTCATCACTGTCTGGTATTGTGTTTAAGGTCAGGGGGCAATTTCTGCATAATGGGGAAAGAAGCTAGATTGTCAGTGTAAAATAGGCTATTTCGTTTAATAATGAATAATTGCCTGTAACTGAAGTGAATGCTTGTGCCATGGACTATTCTTTTTTTGTGAAGAATGTCCTTGTCTTTTTTCCTTTTTTTTTTTTTTGCTTGTCAAAAGTTTACTAGTACAAACTGTCCAGATGAAATCCATGTCTTGGCTATGCATTTGCAAGTGGAACCTGTTTGTTTTGTTTTACTTCTTTAGAAGACAATGCAATATAAGTGCTTGTATTTCTTATGCTGACGTGACTTTCCTGCAGGCTCAAGTTCAAGTAGATATAAGTCAAGTCACTAAATTCTCATTTCTCCACATCCATTGAGGGACACAAATTCAGAAAAAGTCTGGTGTTCTGCTACTTACATAAGTTTGGAGCACTGGCAAGCAGAAAAGTTGTTAGCTAGTCCCTGTATAACCCCTCCTCTATCCAGCATGTCTCAGTTTTTTGCTAGTCTCTTAGCAGGTTGGTATCTTTTCTTTTGTGCTGATGAAACAAATGTCCAACTATTTTTTGCTAGCATTCTTCACCTTGTGGAATGTCTTGAATCAAGGTTTCTCCCTATAGTGCTGCTTATAGCAGCTATCCAGATCAGCGTTTCTCAGCATTAGTGTGCTTGGACCCTGCTGGACTGGATGTGCAGGGCTAGCCTGGAATGTGACCTTCAGGTACTGGGATCTGCATTGTGGAGCTTTCCAGATCTTTATACGCTGTGTTAGTTAGGTACGGAACGCTTTTCGCATCCATTGTCATGACACAGCACCAGGAGTGACCCTGTCTCTAAAAAGCAAGATTTGCCAGCCTGTAGCACTGGGAGCTACCTCACTGTTGGCATTGCTTGGTTCTCTTACAAATTTACCGCTACCACCAGTTTTTACTGCAGGGTTAAGGCTGAGAAATGACATGCTGATGTCATCTGCCAGGTGGATTGCTGCATTCACATGCACTCCATGCTCTCTTTTCTGCAATTCAGTCTGGATGAAGCACCATCCCACTGCTGTTTCTGCTTTTGCATCTCCACGTGAATCTCTGATTTCGTTTCACTTCCTGTCTACAGTGACCCTGTCATTTCCGGCCACCTGATCCCCTCAGTACCAGCTGTCTGGGTTTGAAGGTACGTAGGACCTTGCTTCCCATTGAGCATAGCTGCTGTACTGCTACGCGGCGCAACATGTCCTCCCAAAGACACACAGAGGACCGTCCCCCTGTCACAGGTAACCTCACACCCTACTCCCCTAGTTCTGGGGCCGTTTACCTCATATTCCCAGATGAAAGCAGCACCTGAAATCTGGGGCCCTTATTCATTTGCTAAGTAATTTTCTTCCCTGGCATTTGGGACCAACGTCAGCCTTTCTACGCCTTATAGCCCATTGCCTAACTGCTTGTGTGTGGTATCCTCTTCATCTACCTCTTCATCTCCCTTATTGTTCTCCTGTATTCAGCAGTGTTTCTTTCCAGGTTTTCATGGGTTACCCGCACCCTGGTACCCCCTGTTTCCATGTAGGTCAGAACTTGGCCTTAGGAGCTGCATCCAATACAGAACTACACTTCCGGGTGGCACTCATTGTTATCCTGGTACCCACCTTCCCTAAACCCTAAAGGTTGGGTGTGTATGGCTTGGGCCTTTTGCATGTAGGCTGGCTGAGCTCCTCTTGCGGACCTGTTTATTGCCCACGGCTTGTTTTTGTAAACATAAAAAAACAAACTCTTCAACTTCCAACATGAAAATAAGCTAAAGAAGCATAATTCATTAGTGTTAGTCCTTTTTTCATTTTGGATAGAGTAGAGGGGTGAGAAGTTATACCCTCTATCAGTTTTAATTGATGTCTGTGTCTCCACTCTGGAGAGGAGATTTACCCTTTATTTGCCCTGCTGACAATTGTCACCAAAACAGAAAGGGGAAATAAGAAATTTTAAAGTTGTCATCAACTTTAAAGTTGAAGGTAAATCTTCCAATGATGACCATTGACCTGTCTAAAAGGTGAATTCCCCTCACTTTGTGAAGATTTCCTCTCTTTTCCTTTACGTCTCCAGTACAGGAAGTGAAGAAAAATCTCCCCATCTGGATGCAGATGGCAAAAAAAGAACCTGATGAGTTTTGTTCTTTTTTTAGAACCTTTGAAAAAGCTCTAATGATACAGAGTTGGCATCCCCCTTATGGCACATTGGCAGTCTGGAGAGGGCGGATCATTTTTATTATTACATAAAAGGTATATTGAAACTTAAAACTTCCTCATGTTTTTGTGCAATTATTATAGTGCTATAATAAACTATTCAAAGTACCCTGTTTCCCCAAAAATAAGACCTACCCTGAAAGTAAGACCTAGCACTCTTTTTCAAGATTCCTGTAATATAAGACCTACCCCGAAAATAAGACCTAGTTTGGTGATAGCATGTGAGGGGGAACTTGAAGAGCAGGAGAGATGGTATCAGCCTGCAGGGACATACTGTATCAGGGGATGACAGGGGACTCCCTCCGGCCTGCACAGTGACAGGGAGCACTCCAATACCATACTTCACCAACTGCTGTCCCCCTGAAGGCACTGCTTAATGTAATGGTACTGTAATGTGTAAATGGTACTGTACTTTACCGCACTGTCCACTGTCTGATTTCCCCATTGCTGGTACCATTGCCCCTGATGGCAAAGGAAACCAGCGCAGTAGAAAGCAAGGCTGCGGCGGCGGATCGAGCAGAGCCGCATTAACAGATACTTCCTCTCTATAGCGCCAGTTACTGTGACAGGCGGAGTGATACCAGATAACTTTGGATTGTTGTACATTTTGTTGCACATTCAAAAATAAATAAATAAGACATCCCCTGAAAGTAAGACCTAGTGTGTTTTTTTGGGGCAAAAAAATATAAGACAGTGTCTTATTTTCGGGGAAACACGGTAGCTTGTTTTAAAGGTCTGCTTCAGATCTGTCAGTAGTGCACATTTCAACATTGCCAAATAACATTCATATTCTTGCTGTGGAAAGACCAAAACTAACTGACGCTCATATCCCTAATGTGACCTGTTGCTACAGGCAAACCTGTAGAATAATTTTTATACTTAAAAGAGGAAGTGAAGTGACAGCAAATAAAAAAGAAAGCCCTCGCTGGATCTTTTAGCCATCATATTCTAGTATACACATCATATTAGCACATTATGGGGGAGTTACTTGCCAAAGTGATCCCCTCCAGCACGGCACTCCTCCCTCTCCGACGCTTCCATCTTCTCCCCTGTCTTTTTCTTCCGGGTTTGGAGTCCTTGGCCACTTGACTGTAATCATATATGTATTTAATATGTGTCCCAGATGTTGAACTTTTGTTTTATTTTTAAAGGTACTCTGTGTTTTAAATGTTACCCGTGAGTTGCATACATTAAAGCAAAGTTTCGAGCTTTAAACATTACTGTGCTGTAACAGTCCGCCCCACTTCCTTTGGTCTGGAATCTGAGCATCCTGGGACTCATTCATGGTGATACAGGAAGACACACCTTGCTGTCTCTCGCGCACACTCTCCAATCAAATTCAACTTGCCTAAGAACGTTGAATGTGATTGGTGATGCCGGATGTAAAGAGAGTGGAAGTTACGTAGCCCAGACACGTCAGAAGGTACACTGTCATCCTACTGACATTCTTCTGCGTGTGTTCTGTGGGGATTATATAGAACATAGATTAAGAACATTTTAGTGAGATTTCTTCCTTCCACAGTTGCTGTATTTTAGTAGCTCATTAAATGCTTTCACTTGTTGCCTGGAACTTCTCTTTTAACAGTTTCTCCATTTCAGTATACTTTACCCAAAAATGAAATCTGTTCTGAGGAAATACGAAGGCTGCCACTGCTGAAAATGCTAGTTGACCCTAATTGTCATGATGATCAATTGGTCCACTTAGTGAGTCACTGATTTGGAACAGGTATTCCTATAAGGAGTTTTTATGCACTCTGAGCTCCCTTGCTGGATGCAAGTGCTGGGTAAATAAGTCAGAAAAACAGGCAGTGACCCAAGTAACTTTGAAATAAAAGCAGTAAAGTCAGAGACAGCCAAGCAACCTATATTTTCAGTAGGAGTTCAGCATGGGTTGACTTTATATTTCTCTTTTAAATTGTGCACTAGGGCCAAGCAACTTATTGTTGCCGGTTTACGCAAATATATTGCCTTTCCCTGTGCAGACTATAACTTTTTTTGTTCTGGTCCTCTTGAAAGGCAATGAAGGCGCCTCCTGCAACGTCACCGCGCAGATGGTCCTTGTATGCTGCTGGCGAAGTATGAAGGAAGTCTCCTTATTGTTGGGTTTCCTGTGCCAGAATCTTCCACTGCAGACTCAGCTGGACAGTCCTCGGGGCCTTATTACTGTGGAACAGGTAATACTTAATAGTGTATTGTAGGTCAATAGCAGCCATTTTCAGGATCTTGTGGCAATAACCTGTGTTTTATAATTCCTCCCTTTCAAAAATAGTGGCTCGGCAAATTATTATAATGTAAGCATGTCAAACTGGCATTTCTTGGGCTCTGTGCACCCCTCTTACCAATTCCTTTCAATCTTTTACCTGTCTATGGATTTAAGAATAAGAGGTCTTAAACTGTCTGGGGGGAATTTATCAAAACTGGAGCAGACAAAATCTGGAGCAGCTGTGCACAGCAACCAATCAGCTACTCTCTTTGATTTTCAAATCTAAACTGAACAAACTAAAGAGAGAAATTAATTGGTTGGCATGCTCAGCTGCTCCAGATTTTGTCTGCTCCAGTCTTGATAAACTCCCCTATATGTATTTTATTTTTCGGCGCTGGGAGGCCAGCACAGTAGTGCTTTTGGTGTCAACAGAGTTGTATAGTGACCCAAAATATTTTGTTGACGTTTTACCTGATCTTAACACTTCCCGTTTACCGTTTGTGTATCTAAAAGAACACACGTTATATATTAAAGCTTACCAGTCCCTGGGTGAGGTGGTTGCATGAATTTCTTTGTTTCAAGCTTTTTCCCTTTATTTTGACCTGGTGATGCTTAAAATAACACATTTCCAGTTCTAAGGTGATAACATTCACCCACTCTACTGTATCTATGGAGGAGCCATGTTGTCACACTAAGGCAGTATGTTAAGATTACAGAAGTCCTCCCCCTCTCCTCATCTGCAGGACATAGTTGAGGGTGTTCTGTAGTCCAAAGAAGTGCTTCAAATAACACTGCAGAGTGCATAACACATTCATTGAATTTTAGGCAGCATCAATAAGTTTTGTATTTTTTTTGTACTTCACATCACACAGGTATAACAAAACACTTTCAATTGTTTATTTAACAAACTAAAAGGGAGAAGAAGTTCACTGTTAGGATTTACCTAGACTTTAATCCCTAAAAAAATCCTTAATTATTAACCTGCATTTGAAAAGCATACATGTAATTTTAACCTTTAACCTCGCCCTAACACTGTCATGTAACTTTCCAGATCCCTATCCCTTAAAATAAACTATAATGTTTTGGGATATTTTATGTCATATAAGGTTTCCAGGAGAACTATGGCTAACTATGGCTTAGTTTAAAGAGGAAGCAGACATTACTTTGAGGCTGTAGATTTCAGCTTTAACAAATAGGCGTTGTAAATCAAAGAAACAAAATATAAAAAAGAGCCTAGCTCCTGTACTTAAAGGAGAACTATGAGGTGAGTGAAAATCACTCATCCTCATAGTTCGAGCACGTCGGCTCTATAGATCGGGAAGTGAGCGAATACATACTGTCGCTTGCTCACTTTCCGGTGACGGACGGTCATTGCTCCCCGCAGGGATTCCCCCCTACCCGCTCCAATCCCCCAGTGCAGAGTGGAGGAACAGACAGGGAGGGGTGGGCACAGCTGACTCTGCCTCTAGATAAGCAGAGCCAGCTGTCATTCACGCAGCTGGGTAGGTCTCCACAGCATTGTCAGGATCCGTCCCGGCTGCGGCGCTCTCAGTATATAGTGAGCAATAGCTCGCTATATACTGAGCTTTGGGTCACGGGAGGATGCTAGTATATGTCCTACCATGACCCTAAAAAGAACTATGTGATAAAAAGGTTACCTCATAGTTCTCTTTTAAACCCAAAAATAAAAGTGTAATTTCATTCCTGCCCGTTAAGCAACACAGAAGGTCTTAAACCTTTAGGATATACTAAAGGAGGATTGGACATTGGCAAACAAAAAAAAAAAACGGTGGTCCAGCTCAGTATAACTCCTTCTATTGTCAGCATGCCTCAGTTTTTTGCTGGTGACCTTGGAAGATGGATGGCTTTTCTACAATTATGCTGCATTTTGCTAGAACCTTTTTTTCTTCATTTCTTTCTTCAATCAATCTTCTCTCTATATTGCTGGTGGAGCTTTGTCTCTTTGATTACAGCTTTCCAGCACGGTCCTCCTCTTCCTGGCTTTTGGAGTACCACATTTTTATACTACTAAACTGGATGTGCAGGGAGAGTCTAGAAGTGGTTCTATTTAGGGTGCTTTCTGAACTCCCTCCTGGTAAATGTTACCTGTGGAGCACTTTCCAGTTCCAGAGCTGTTAGTATTGCTTCAACACTTGCCCCACCTATGAAGATTTAGTGGATAGGCCAGCTGGCCTGAGCACCAGGAGCTACCTTAAGAGAGAGACAGTCCTGCTTTATCAGGTGCCCCTCTAGCAGTTCTTGTCCTGCCTTCTGATCGTGCCGACATCTGCAGTTTAAAATCATATCCTCTTATCTGCTAGGTGTGGCTGGTCTTGTAAGATTTTATGATAAGGAGGATAGCAGTAAGAGTACAGCTAGTGGTGGTCGAGTCCAGAATAGTTCTTTTATTTATGAAAAATCAACAAGATACGCCTTGGCTTTCTTATCTAAGTCCCGTGTGAATATAGCTTAAGGCCCCTTCACGTTCTGATCAAATTGGCCTGTCAGCTATGGGCAACCAGATGTAAACAGGTTCATTAGGGTAAAGAAGTTTTCTTTTTTGCACAATCTGTCTGCGTCCAGGGACAATCATCTGACCTGAATCGCAGGTAGTCGTTCCATGTACAATTTCATGCGGACAGCCCCTGACAGATATGGCTGCTTTCAGTCTGACATTCACTTGAACGGCCATAGCGGTGTCTGCACAGGAATCCCCAGCTGGAGCCTTAAGCCTTGCGTGAATTTAGCTTAAGGTCTCTTTCACATAGTGGTCTGGTCAGTTCGGCCTGTCCTTTTTCTCAGTTGGATCTGATCGGATAACCAATGTAACTCTATGGCCAGCCGGATGTAAACAGATGTGCGTCCGTTTACATCCGGTTACTTCTGAGTCTGTCTAGGTCCAAAAAAAAATAAAATGGAAGAGACTCCTGTTTTGGTGGACTTGAACGTGATGGTACAGAGGTATTCAGATGTAGTCAGACACATGTCCACTTGCACTTGACTGTCCACGGACCTAACATGGGAACAGATGCTGCCCATATGAAAGGGACCTAAGACTTTACCCCCCTTTGGTTATGATACACCTGAAATGTATTTAGCTAATTTAATCCTAAACATGTTCCACTGGGCTTTAAAGTTCCAGGGCCAGAAGCTTCAGAAAGGCACACAGATGAGAGCTCTCTGGTTAACAAAGGTAATAGCAGAACTTTATTTCTGCATGTTAAAATTTGAGACACATTCACTGTAAAGTGTCAGACACACAATTCTTTGTGGTTCCTTTCCAAGTTGCGTCCATCTTGCTCAACGCCTGTGCAGTCGACAAACTGCAGTTATTGAAGATTTTCTTATATGAAGCAGATAGAAAACTTGCTCCAAGGCTTTGTGTAAAAAAAACCTTTTATGAATCACTCATATTCTTAATATATTGCCCAGATTCTGTGCAGAACCATTAAATTATCTTCTGGCCCATTCTGTCGTCCATTTCATTTTATTTTGCTGCTTAATATTCGTCAGTAACTCGTAAAACTGCCAGCGAGTTACATTTTCTAGGAATTTCTGTGTAATTCAGAAATTGCACTTTTTACAATAGATGCAACAATATTTCGCAGAGTATATGGCCGATTGCTGTTTAATGAGAAAAATATGGATTTTTGAGGTTGATGTCTGTTAAAAAGAAAAAAAAAATACCTACTGAGTGTTAAACAGCATTTAAAGATGAAATGCAAAAAATATACTTAGTCCATGTGTGTATTTATGGCACAATTCCTGAAGTTATATTTAAACCAAGTTGTGTATAATCTAGATTTATTTAAAAGGAGAACGACACACAAAGCACAATGTTCAGTACTAAATACGTAAAAAAGTTATGTAGTAGTGTATTCTCTTTAGCTTTTGATGCTGTGTTTAAAAGGAAAAACAAAGTCTGTCTGTTATAATGAGATGACTTACTGTGCGGTGTGTTTGTGACATCATTTTTCATGTGACTTTCACATCTTTGCCTGAGTAGTGATTGTCTTGAATGTATACTATGTTACTATGTTACTATGTTATTCTATACATGGAATAACATCCGCAGTAGACAGTCGATAAAAGGAGAGTTGGTAACCAATCATCTTCATGTATCTGGTTCCCTGAACACAGCATTTTGAAGCTACAAGGGAGAAGTTACAAAGCTACAAGGGAGAAGCTACAAAAGTCAGTGTCAATGCCCTAATTTCCATCTCTAATCACTCCCCTTTCCTGCTGCTTTATTCAGAGCGCAGTCAGGCGTGAGTGTCGCAGGAATGGCAGAGGTGTCTTTGAGATGCGGGCTGGGATTGACAGCCTGGGTTCACTATTTTGCAAGAGGCAAGATGGCACATCTAGTGGAGGAATCACAGGTCTTGGGACACACTGGAGTTTTTGTCTCCTGTTTGATTATTGTGATAAATTATGACCTACTCTAAAGATACTTTCACTTTGCCCTCCCACTCCACAAGTGCTCACCTTTGTCATGCTCCTCCTGTCTTCATCTGTCCTTCCCTGAAAGGAAAAAGTGACAAAGTCTCTTTATAGTAGAATAAAACTTCCCAAGTATGTACAGCATAGCTAATAATGTTCTAAGCATAATTGCACATAGTTACATAGTATTTGAGGTTGACTAAAGACACAGGCCCATCGAGTTCAACCTTTATGTGTAAATATCTCTCCATGTGTGTATATGAGTCCCTGTGTGGTCCTAGGTTTTTAAGAGTACCTGTATCCCAGTATTTTTCAGTCTCTTAGGAAGCTATCTAATTGTTTTTTGAGTGAGTCAATACTCTCTGCTGATAGCACTGCTTGTGGCAGAGAGTTCTAAAATGTAACCACTCTGACTGAGAAGAATCCCCTACGCTCTTTGTGGCTAAGTCTTTTCTCCACCAATTTTAGGTGGTGGCCTCTAGTCCTTGTTAGGGAGCTTACTGTAAAAAGTTTGCTGCTGATGTTGCCATC